ACGTGTGCTCTTCCGATCTTTACTGGCAGTAATTTACAGTAATTTATTACTGAATATCTTTCAGTAGTTTTAGTAATAATTTTCTAATCGACTCCAGTAATATTTTGGCCGGTAGTTTCAGTAATACTTTTCTATGAGGGATATGGAACTTTTTTCCCGGGCTTAGACGGTCTTACTCAAAAAATCAAAAAATTATCAAATATTTGAATTATTCAAATACGAATAAATCAAAGTATTGAGCAATATGTAAGTAGTCGAGCAATATGTTTCCCGGAATTCCGAGAATAATTTTTTTTTTATACAATCATATCTAGAATAAACGAACAGCGATAAGAAGAATCAAGTTGCACGGCCCGAAGCGTTTAAATGGCAGCCGTGACATTTCCGACGCGCGAGCATGCCACGTGCCGCGTAGCTTCCATTCGCCGCCCCACAGATGGCGGATCGTGGCCTCTCAACTCCAGACCCAAGAGTCCCAGAGAAAGGAGGAAGCGACGGCCGTGGCGCCTCCATTTGGCGAGTACCGAGTAGCGGGGCGGATATACTCCGATATACTCGCGTAGTTCGCGCCGGGTTGGGGAGGGGGGGTAGGAAAACGTTCTCGACGCATTCGGTTCGGTTCGGAGAGCTCGGTGCGAGCCGTGCGGTGCGAGTCGAGTCCTGTCTGTCTGGCCATGTTACCAACGCGGTGGCGGTTCTCCGTTCGTCGTCGTTAACGAAGAGAATCACAGTGCCGAGAAGCGAGTGCAAGTCGTGCGCCTCGTAGCTCCTTCCGCGCCCCTCGCGTGTGACCGCGTACCCTCGCTCCCGAGGGATATCGTGTTCGAAGCCACGGAGTCGCGGTTAGCTGCGTCATGTGCGTCTCCCTAGTGTCAGAGAATTGAGGACCCCCTCCTCCCTGGTCGTCCTCTCCCCCCCCCCCTCCTCCCCTCCCTCTCCTCCCTGTCGTGCCACCGGGAGTACTCCGACGGAGAAGAGCGAGAGAGAAGGACAGAGAAAGAGAAAAGCGGGAGGGAGAGCGAGCGAGTGAAGAAGCAGAACGCGCGAGAGGAGGCAGGAAGAAGCGCCGCGCTATAATGCATCCCGGAACGGCGGCGAGCCGTCGTCGCCGATGCGCCGTCGAACGCCGTCGGACGCCCCGGTCGTCGCGCGAGGCCACCACCACCACCACCACGTCGCCGGTGATTGTCGTCTTTCGACGCAACGCCGTCGCCGGACGCGGATGAGAAGAGGCGCCCCGCGTCTTCGTGGGCCAGCGGAGGCGCTGCTGCGTACGACGACCGCGAACAGCGCGTGATATACCCTGCGCGAGGTAGGTATGTATACCTATATATACGTTACACTCGCTCTGCACGCGATTCCCCTCGAGTTCGCTGGCGCGCCTCGGCTCGCGGGGCCTCTCCTCTCCCGTCCCGTCCCATCCCTCGCGGATCCTCTCCGGGCCCCGTCGCTCGCCGTTGCACCGCGCGCGTCCGTACCGGCGCGGTGCGGCGCGGCGCGACGCTACGCTACGCTACGCTACGCGTCGC